AGATTTGGGAAAGAGTGAGAAATATTACAATAATTTCTGACACTTTATTAAGAGTAAATATAGTAATTAAAATATTTTTCAAATAAGGAAAATTCGTTACACATACGTAACTATATACAATAAGTGATGACAAGTTGAGAATTAAAAATATATGACTCTAATATACAGGGTGTATATATAACAGAAAGATGATATATTATATTGTAAATATTTAAAAAGTACAAGTCCCAATTATTAACATATTAATATTGGTTTAGATATCAATTTATTTATCAATTTATAGTCATTAGGCACAATAATATGCAAAACAATGTATGTTAGTTTATAAGTCAGATTTATGTAGGGCTATCACTAAAATTGTCTGCAATAAGCAGCTATACATGTATTTATAGGTTAAGGTGCATTTGAATTACGCGTAAAAAGTACTAATGCGAACTAAAGTCTGCTTACGGGAGTGCGACCGTTCGGGAAGTAATAACAGTGCGATTTGTGACACTGGAGAGACTCATCACGATGGAGAGACTCATGTTTCACTGTTTGATGTACAGCCACACGTCCATAGTCAATGGAGGACTAGACAGCTACATCAAGAAGATAGGACCAGAAGAATGCTGAAATATACACTGCTACCGATCGATACAACTCTACGAGAAGACGACAACGAAATCCACCTACTACGAGAAGGAGTAACATGCCCATTCATCAACGGCTACTGCTTCGACTCTACAATAGGCGAAATAACATGGAAAAACAATACAAAGACAACAGTTGTGAAAGTCAATTGTCACAACTTTACAGAGGGCACGTTGAGAAGATCACAAATAAACAATCACTAGAAGAGCTGGTAATAGTAGAACAAGATAAAAACATATTTGCTCTAACGTTACACAAAAGGGCTATAATATGTAACACAGAAGTATGGCAAACTGAACACCGCCGAATCCTAATAAATTTCCTCGTAAACAAAATAAATCCTAGTATGCCATTCCTACCTCAAAACGTAGACCTAATGACCTACATCACTAGCAAATTCCTTTACACCAAACAATCCTACCAAAGAGAAATAGAAAAGCTATACTTAGACACAGTACTGCGACGATGCCAAACAAAAAGAGAAATTAAAAAAAAAAAACAGATTACTAATGGCCCCATCCTTACCTAATGCCGTCAGTCAACTCATGCAGAACAGGCCAGGGTGCACATGCAGCAAACACATACCAGAGACCAATGTAGCAGAAGTATAATGCGACAAAGCAAAGCAGTATCAACCTGAGACGACCACCCAGCAAGGACAAACCAACGGAGGCAGACAGCAGCAGTAACGCATCAATATAGTTAACTCGACACGTGGAATTGGCAAACGGACATTAAAACAGCCAAGACGACGCGAGTGAAGTGCGGATAATTCCCACAGGGATACGCGATAAAGTGTGAACAGTGAACGCAAAACGCGAGTACAATCGTATAGAACAATTAGAATACGCTTGTCGTAATGGACACATGTAATCACGAACAATTGTAATAAGTTAGGAAAGTCTTTCACTTGTTAAGTTTCAATAAGATTAATACAAGATTAACTCAACTTGTCATACACATAGGTTCAATACGGGGGCAGCACGATACATTCGCTGACCACGGTACAATAGTCTATAAGAAACAGTAAATGATAAAATATAAATTGGGACTTATAAAAAAAATATATATAGTAGATTATAAGTAATATAATATGTAACTAGATAAATTTATTGTTGGAAAAGGAAAAGGCCCCTCGGCCCTTTTCTTTTTTTTGCGTAGGGAGTAATGTAATGTAAGCGTAGCAAGTGAGTGAGAAGTTGGAATAAAGGGATAATGGAACAATAAGTAGCATAGAAAAGATAATAATTATTCGAGATAATTATCATATATTCCAAATTAAATAAGGGATAATTATTACGGTTAACTTATACATTTAAATTATACAAAGTATAACAATTGACCTAGTTATTGCATTGTTTGATAATTGTTTAAACGTATAAAAAGCACGAAACATCCGTGACCCAAATAGGCAGCAATAATACCAAAACTGCAACTCAGCGAACCTACGACCTTGGTACTAGAACCGGCGTTGAAAGTACGACCACAATAAAACAAGAAGAAACGACGGACGTCGGGTAGTCGGTAGTTAGTAGTGATAACGGGGGCGCCGTAACTGCCCGCCCAGGGCAGTGATCGCCGGACGCGATAGCGTCCAGTACGCGGGACAGTCGGTGATTTTCCGGGGGCCGGGTATCTTCTGTCAGAATTCGCGTGTAGTCCGGTTATTGTGGCAGCTCGAAAGTTCGCAACCCTCAACTGACCGAGTTCCAGAAGACTGAACGTGTCGTGGTTGAAGCCCTAATATACACATAAGGTAACAGATTTCTTATACTAACCTGTGTAATTATATTTGTACCTCTGTCAACTTTTCACTATCTTGCTACATCGTCTCCCGACGCGCAGAATAACGTGTTAACGATTGTATTAGGAACTTCAGGGTAGATTCAATATATTGTTGACTCTAATATGGTTTTTTTTTAATGTTCCTTCGTCCGACTCACTAGAGACTAGGAGAACACGAGAATTCTGCGTATACATATCTCCGGCTTCAAAAGTAAGCCCATAACCTCTACTCTTTACAGGACCTGAGACCGAGGAGTTCTTACCCCTATCCCGAAATCCCTTATCTTCTCGTAAATCCACGAAGACGAGCCAGCCCTCCAGACCAGTGTGACCAGTATTCCTTGCAGCCGCTCGCAGGGTTAGCATCCCTTGAGGATCTATTGTGTATTTCATTTGGTGACAGCGTTTCCATTACCCTCATATAACGCTCTCATTATTATTCTTTTACATTGGTGACAGCGGAGTCGCCTCCTCAGATTGTTACAACTTCCATATTTGACATTCTTTGAATCCATGATATTCGTAGGATTCTTCTGTAATACCAAAATTCAAAGGCGGCCAATTTATTCAGATAAACTTGTTTTAGTGTCCAAGCTTCCAAACCATAAAGAAGAGTAGAGTAGAGTAGGATATTGAATGGTGCATACATATTAAATTCGATTATTTTTTTTTTAGAGTTTGAATGCTGTTTAAACTTAGGACATTCAAGAAAGATGTGATCAAGATTACCCAGTTTTCCGCAATGTTTGCAACTATTATCTTCAATCACATTTATTTTACATAAATGACTTGGATAACACGCATGCCCAAAGCGTAATAAATTTTAATATACTGGCCACGCATGCGTTGCGTATCAGATATTAAGCTGATACGAACAGATACTACACTTTGATCTTAGCCAAAGGTAGAGAATCGATCATGGTTGTAAGTTAAACGAGTTCCTGAGGACATTAACAATATATATAAGGTTCTTGAACTCCTAAGTGGAGCATAGAGCTTCAGTGAAAACGCGCCATCGGGTTCTATTTTGCGCTAAGGCCTTCACCTCATTCCAAGACTTTCCTTGTTTTCTTATCTCGTCCATGATGGATCTTCTCCAAGTTTGTACTGGGCGACCTTTTTTTCGTTTTCCTTGGGGATTCCACTCTAGGGCAGTCTTTGCAATACTGGAGTTATTTTTTCGGAGTGTGTGACCGATCCAACCCCACTTTCTGGACTTTATTTCATTTACTACCCTCTTTTGTTTGGTCAGGTGTAGTAAGTCTTCGTTTCTGATGATGTTAGGCCAGAAAATACGAACAATTCTTCGTAGACATTTATTAACAAAGACCTGCAGTTTGTCTGTAAGGGTTTTTGTCGCTTTCCAGGTTTCACATCCGTAAAGTAGTACAGACATGACATTTGACTGGAATATGCGGATCTTTGTCCTCGTAGTGTATTCTCCAGACCTCCAAACAGGGTTGAGCATGCTGAAAGCTTGTTGCGCTTTTCGTATCCTCATACGAATATCGTCTTCTGTACCTCCGCTTTCTGTTATGACACTTCTAAGATACGTAAAGTTTTCCACATTTTCAATCTGCATGTTATTACTGGTAAATAGCGTGTTGTTTCTTGCATTTATTCTCATGGATTTGGTTTTGCCAATATTGATTTTCAGACCTATTTTATTGGCTTCAGTGGAAAGTGTTTCCAATTGGTCAGCCACATCTTGGAACCTTTGTCCTAACAGGCAGATATCGTCGGCGTATTCTAGATCGCTTAGGCGTGTGGTTAACGTCCATTGTATCCCTCTTGTGCCAGAGTCTAGTTTGGAGAGAACATAGTCTAGAGCTATGTTAAAAAGAAACGGAGAAAGCACGCATCCCTGTCTGACTCCAGTAAGTAAGTACGTCAAATTCGTCACTGTTGATCCCACATTAACAATAAACCATGGGTAAATTTGGTGTAGTTTATTCGGTGGTCTCTAATAATCGATGCTTCTCTTCTAGTTAGGGAGTCCAGGAAGAGATGATCAATAAGCAGTTTTAGTTGTGAAGTGATTTGCTCTTTTGCCATAATTGTTGCTAGATGTCCTCTACTGTCATTTAGAAAACGAGATTGAGATCTTTTACTAGTTGAATCATGATTATTCCAGTACGATAGTTGGTAGCTGCTCTTTCAAAATGGTCTGATCTGTTTCATTACCAGTAATTCCTGTATGAAAAAGTACCCATATGAAACAGACTGTCATTGTGAGCAGATTGATATTTTGTTAGATGTCATAAATATTTTAAATCAATGGGTGGTCAGTGAAAATTATATTGATTGAATGGATAAATGAAAGGAAATCTGTACAAATGGCAATATGTGTGTTTTGATAAGAGATGCATTTAAAAGCCAGCATAATACTATATTGTGCTCCTCTGCAAACCCTGCATATTAAGGGTAACTGAGATGATCTAAGTTCATGTTTTGTGTTGACTGCACAGGTATATTAAATATATTGTAAATCTGAAATAAGGTAACAACAAAATAAGAATTAGCTTTAGAGAATAAATAAACATGTATGGTCAAACAAAAAAACTAATAAAATGTTCACTTACTTTTTCTCTTAATCGTCTATACAGGTACTTCCTCATCACTGTTATTACAGTATCAGCTGCACTAGATGCATTTATAATGTGCATTTCCTTAATTTGATTATTCCAGACTTCCTAAAGTAAGGAAAGTTATACATAACGGTTTTTGTGTTGAAGAAATATTTAATTATTGTTATTTTTACCTCGCAAATAAAATCCAATTTTTTAAACAGCTGTGGTGTTGCTTTTGCTACATGTCCCAGTTTTACATTTTTGTAATCCATAACATAAATATCTCCAAGTGAAAGGTCCTCCCAAATTTTTACTTCATTTAAATGAGTCATTACTAGTATAGGTTGATCCCCATCTAACTTCTCGGGATTGCCATTAATCTTGGCTACAATCACTCTTTGCAAATTTGGAGTCAACGTTGGTAGTGGTACTGTGATTCTGAAAAGCGTTAAAAATAAATTATTAGGTAGCCACTATGTCCCAGTGATAAAAAGTCATAGGATGCAATCGCGCAAATTACATTTCGTACTTATAGTATATTTGAAGAATAAGCTGGAGTAAATTCTCAGAAAAAAACTAAATTGTTAAGCATATTTTAGTACGTGTGTTTTTCGTACAACGTCAATATTTTAGCTTATTTTACGTTGGGTTTGACCATTTAGTTTTAATTTTTCCATGTCACATGGACTATCGTAAAATTTAAATACCTGCTATTGTTAGAACTGTGTAGGCTAGGTTTTTTCTGCTGGTCATAGACGTACTTTAAGGGTATTACATTATTTGTTTCGGTTGTTAGATATTTAAACCATTTTTAAAGCATATTATATTTATATAAATCTGTTTATTTTAGTAACGTTATTTATGGTTATTTTTGTCGTTATGATAATGACCCATTAAATAACAAGAAATAAAGAAACTCTTAAAATACATAGGTATTTAGCTAATAATCTTTTGATAGTTTAGATAGAAAAAGTCGATTAGCGAAAAATGTTTTCTGATAAATGTGAACGCTATCTTAAATAGTATAAATTTCGATTTTGTTTGGAAAACCAATGATTAATAAAATGGCTAATGGTCTTTAAATAGTCATTCATTAATATCAGAAATTTTTTGTTTAGTCGATTATAAGCGAGTGAAAAGATCTGACGCAGTTGTTTTTTGCAAGAGTGAATAGTGAGTTTATAGAATATGGCATTAACGTGTGATTATATACCAGTTAAAAAATTAAAATTGAATCATTTATCACTCAACGAAAAGAGTGTTATCCTTAACGTCTACAATTATTTTAAGCAACACAATCCTTTCAATACTGTTGATAGTATAGTTGAAATTTCGTCTAAAGTAATGGGATATTCAAAATCAACTGTATATAACATTTTAAAAGAGGAAAAATCAGCTGGTATAACGCCACCCAAACTGAGACCAGGAAGACCAAAATTGTCGAAAGTGAATGTGGATGAATTTTTCAAAAATGCAATTCGTAGAATGGTCCAGTCATTTTTTTTTAACAAACAAATACCAACTTTAGATAAAGTTTTACAAGCCATTAACGACGATCCCGATTTACCCACAATAAGTAGGGACAAACTTTGGAAAGTTTTGCATGAGTTAAACTTTAAGTATGAAAAAGTGGGCAGACAGTGAATACTTATCGATTCCGAAGAAATTGTGTGTTGGAGACGAGACTACCTCAGAAAAATAAAAAAATAAGGACAGAAAATAAGAACATTTATTATTTAGATGAAACGTGGGTTAATGAAGGGCATACTGTAGGGAGAGTTTGGAAAGACAAAACTATAAAAACATGTAGACAAGCATTTCTATAAGGATATTCATATGGTTTCAAGAAACCAACAGGTAAAGGTCGACAATTAATTGTTACCCATATAGGTAGTATGAATGGATTTCTCAAGGAGGGTTTATTTTTGTTTAAATAAAAAAATAACTGTGATTATCAAGAATAGATGAACGGAGACGTGTTTGAAGAATATTTCGAACAGATGATTGAATTCATACCTAAAAATTCAGTTATTGTGATGGACAATGCAAGTTACCACTCTAGATTAGGTGAACGTTTACCAACTACTCAATGGAGCAAAGATGAAATTGCAATATGGTTAACTTCTAGGAATTTAATTTTTGACGATACAAGGACAAAAGCAGAATTATTACAGCTCGCTAAAATTAATAAACAAAATTATAAAAAATATGTCATTGAGAAAATAGCCAAAAACGATTAATTAAAATGCTTCGCCTACCACCGTATCATTGCGAGCTTAATCCGATTGAATTAGTATGGGCCGAAGTTAAAAGTAACGTAGCTCGAAATAATACAACTTTTAAATTGTCAGTTGTTACTACTCTTTTTCATAGATCAATATCCGAAGTAACGACTGAACAGTGGCAAAAATGTATTTGTCACGTTATGGATATTGAGAAAAATATGTATGAGCTTGATCATATAATAGATAGCAGTATAGATACTGATAATAATTATACTATAACTATAGATAATAATTCATCCCGGATCGGATAACACTTCGTCTGAAGCAGAATATGAGGAAGCTTAACTTTAAACTGTAGCTCAGAAGTTTATTTTACATTTGAACTAATTGCCGACAACTTCATTGTTTACTGCTCGTATAATTTTTATTCTTATTTCCAATATTATTAGTATTAAGAATATTATTATTTATTAATAGGAATATATAAAAACTTACAGTTTTTGTGTATGTATTTTACATTTCAGTATAATGTATTGTATTTTATTATTTTATATTAACTCTATGTTTCACAAATAATAGAATTTTTATTCTTTTTATGTGTATCTTTATATTTTAAACCAGTATTGGATTGGATTAATTACTTTGTTCTAAATATCCAAATAAATTTAACGCAAACTTTTATTTTAAGATTACGTTTTAGTTAGAAGTATTTCCAGGTGCGATGATTAGTATTCTGAGAATTTATTCCAGCTTATTCTTCAAAAATACTATAGATACATATTTAGCTATACTATTTTATACTTTACATACTAAAACAGCATTGCATAAAAAAATATAGATACTCAGCCTTCTTGATACTAAAAATGCAAGAGAAGGTATTTTTCTCACTTATCATAAGATTTAAGTGGTTTTGTTATTATATCAATATTTTATTTAAAAACTTTAAATAAATTAGATGTAATTTCACCATTGTTTGCTAAATCTCAGAACATTGTATCCAACAATCAGAACATCTATTATCATTCACTACCTTTTATACCTATAGTCAAAGAATCAGATCGACGACGTATAGACGCCTTTGAAATGTGGACATGGAGACGCCTGCTTCGAATTCCATGGATGGCTCGCCGTACAAATATCTCGGTTCTGGATGAAATTAAACCGGATCAGCGTCTCTCCAGTACCGTTTACTCTAGAATTTTAAAGTTCTTTGGCCATATCCATCGAAGTGATCACAAAATGGAGCGGTTGGTGGTCCAAGGAAGGCCTCAGACTCAACGCCAACGCGGAAGATCTCCACAGCGATGGGCGGACATTACTAAAAAGCTTCTCAATAAACAGTATACTGAGGCAATACATATAACTGATGACCGCGACCAGTGGAGAAATATTCAAATCAAACTGTCCGAGCTGCTGAAGCCCAATTATGAACCACAACACATCTACTAAGATGTTAATGACTGTGATGATGACCTTTTATACCATCATTAATACTTAAATTAATACAAACACTAAAGGTTATTGACAATATAAAAATAGCAACAAAAAACATCAAAACCATTTCATCTTTATATTCCAAAAATAAGTATCCTATAGACAACTTAGATAAAACAAATGTAGTATACAGCATTAGTTGTACTCAGTGTTAAGCTGAGTATATTGGTGAGATAGGTAGAAATTTTTCAAATCGCATTATTTCTCACAAAAGTGATTGCAGAATTAAAAAAACGATCTTGTGCTTTGGCAGAGCATGTAATCGACAAAGTACATATTATGGATTTTGATAACAGTAAAATTTTGTGTAGTGAAAGTAATAAATTCAAAAGGACTTTTTTGAAAATGGTTTGTATTGGCAAAAGTGACAATAATTTAAACAAAAGATGAGAAATTCAAAATCTAAGCAAAATTTATATAATTATATTATTTCATTGTAGTTTATATATGAAACCAGTAAAATATCACATTTTGATTTAATTTTCCATATATTTCTTACATTTTTTTCAGGCGTCTATCAATGGTGAATAAATCTTCTTCTTTTTTGTTACTAAACAAAAAAGCATTTTTAAACAAAATTTTATTTTTGGCAATATAATTGTAATTGTTGTCATTTATGACATTGAGTCTTAATTGTAATTGGTCGCCATTCCGACTGCGCTATTCTAACTTATTTATAAATTCAATTGTTTTTATGTTAAGAAACTCAAGGCGAACTGAAAAACATCAAGAAGAAGCAGAACTAATCTGACTTGACAATGGCAAGTGTGACCTTGCCGAAACGTCGTCAAAACAATGGTTTTTCTAAAGACCAAAACTATTCAATGCGGATTCAAACCCGGAAAACATCTGAAATAAGTTATAGAGTGTTATAAAAAGTTATATATTTTAAAAAAGGTAAAGGTACTTACACTTCTTCATACAAACCCTTTGTAGTGGATGATAAAGGAAGGTTATTTTGATAAATATCTGGGATAATCGTTCTGACTGAGTAATACATATCTAGCGATTGTTTGGTTTTCTCTATACTAAAATTGTTGTTTACTAAGAAATAAGTAATCATGGTGTCAGCTGTAAAAGAAAAATAATAGAGAGATATTGCAGAGTCAATTTTGCACTTGCTGTATTACAGCACGCGTTATTTTGACAGTAGAGCATGCGCAGATATGATATTTGGCTTACGCTGCGTTATTGAAAATACGGCGTGCCGTTATTAGGAGAGCCGTTACGCTGTGCGGTATTCGTTGCGCTATTTTCTTTCTCAGGTTATGTATGTTGTTTGTCTTTCATTTAAACCAAGTTTATTTGTAATAATTTTCTAAAATGAGTACATCAGAGAGTAGCATAATGCAAAAATATTAATAATTTGATATAATGATTGAGGTGACAAATTGAATAAAAGCTGAAGATCTTTAAGCCTGCTGGGATATGCGAGCATTCTCATCACTCCTAAAAACAAAAATATAAGGGCTTAATTTCAAAAGTAATGTAGAATGCAAATGCATTTACCACTAACAGAGTTTCTAGTATTGGTATGAATAAAATCTGGTAGGCGTAAAGTCCTAGAAATATCTTGTCTGCTAAACCTAAAATTTATTTTTACATCTGCTTCCTGCTTCCAACATGTTTTCTACATTAAATTCTTAATTTTGTGGATGTAATACATATTCGCCCACAATGTTTTTAATGTGATGAACCCTACATCATCATCATGAGCATTTGCTAAAATAAGTGCTTCTAAATCATGATCAATTTTCAATAATTTGCTAACAAATGAAAAGAAAACATAAACAACGTAAATAACGCAACAAAGTATGCATAAGTTCAAGCAATATCTCTATTTGTGATGTGTCAGCCATAAGTCAAAAATGTCGAAATAGCGCGGTGTAAATAGTGCAACGCAGGCACTGTTAACTTTGCAATAACTCTCTAATATGTGCTGCTTTTCTAAATAAAAAATAGATTATACTTATTGAAATCTATATTTTGTTTAATCTGTATTTTAATAACTTATCGGTTCTAGAATTTATACTTTAGAAATTTATTTTTGGAAAGGTTCTTCAGGAATAGGCAAATTTTATTAATCATGGTGACTCAAGTAGTTAAATACACTTACTCCAAATCATCTAGCAAAAAGATAAAAGAGTGAATCTAATCGTTATGAAAAGGAGACCAAAAAAGTGGCCTCTGATGGCGGACATATCCGGATATGCGAATGCGCCAAATTTAAATTTTCCGACACTTATTAACAGTAGCTATAAAATACTTTTCTGAATGTGTCTTAGACGAGAAAGTTTTAATTAAATATTAACGATAGCAGTCTAAAAGGTATAACAATTGTTAAAAAACTTCAATATAAATAATATTTACAGATTTGACAGTTCTGACAAATAATAACATAACCCAACTAAAATTGATTTCTTAAATAAGAAAAGACTCTCTTTCCTTGTTTAATTTGGCCTCTCAAGATAGCACTTGCTGTCTAACAATATTTTTGCCCCCACTACCTTTACATTCCCTCTTTTGTCTTTTTGCTCGATGCTCCAAATACAGTAACTCAAATATTGAGTGCATCTGTAGGAGAATCGTAAATCCCTGAAACTTGGAAGTCAGTTTTACCACCGAAGAACGTAATTAAAATGATGAAAATAGACTGTATTATTATATTTAGATTACAGGTGGCCATTTCTAACATTTAATTGGTTAATTTGATGAAATTTTATGTTTTTGTTATTACTTTGTTTAACCAATAAATTAGTTAAATACAAAATTGTCTTTAAAGTTATTTTGAAAATTGGGTGTCATCTACAGAGAAAAATTACCTTTCGAATGATCTGCCACATTTGCTATTTAAAAAAAACTGAGGGTTGATGCAGTTGATGAGGTTGAAGAAAAGCATGAGTTTTACATAAAAATTCGTCCTCTTCCCAAACGTGTTTTCTTAAATTTTAAAGAAACTCTTCGTTTCTGACTGTCTGAAGGGGTTGAAGGTCAAATTTTCGTTACAACACACTGTATATGAATAGAATGAAAAATGGTACATGGCGAAGAACAGTTCTTTAAAATTATGAAGAGCTCTTTTTGTCTACAACCTATTTAATAAAAATACAAAAACACAAAAATATCAAAGTAAAATAAAAATGAAAATTAAAGTAGAAAATGAGTATAAGAAATTTAAAAAACTAATTAATTTGTTAATCATTATTTCAACTACAATTCTAGTATATTATTATTATTACCTGGTATTTCCGGTAGGTGATTCTGTGTTTTAACCCAGTTTTTGATAATTTCGACATCATGAACAACGCTCTCTTTACTTTTTCCGAAATGATTAAAGATTTTTTGAAAATCTGTTTTAAACGACATATTTACTTAACTTTTAACTTGTACAGTTACATCTGAGAAAAGCGATACGAGAATTCTTAATATGTCTGTCGTATTTTAACTGAAACTTTAAATACTAGAAAATTCAAGGGTATCAACTTCATTAGATATGAGTATAGTTGCATAAATTTAAAAATATTGACAAAAAAGTCCATACAAAACAATTTTTATTACGTTTTAGGTATAACTTAATACGAAACATGCACCGCTTAAATATATTCATCTATAAACAAGTCTTTTTTTTCAAAAAAATAGATGATGAAAAAAAATAGTTTCCAGTAATATTAACAGTTTATTTCATTTGGTATCCTTTTTTATTTCATCCATGATCAAACGGAACAATAGAGCACTCAGAGAATTTCAGTGTCTTATCCCATTGCCAGCTTCAATTGGGTCAATTAATTCTTCTTCTACTTTTACTTTTATTGTGTTGTTTTGGTAAATATTTTAATCGTTTTGATTATTTTTTGAGGTATCTATGTTGCGTATAGTATGTGGATAACGTCCTTTAATTTGAGTCCATCAAATGTGTTTGATGACTCCAAAAAGGTTTACAATATACCAGTTTATTGTATCCGAATTATTTCTCTGGCACTTGTCTCACTATAAATACAGTGTCGGTGCATCATCTTCACGACCTAAAACCTTGATGTTCTTCTGCTAGTGATATAATTTCATTCAGTTTATTTGTTATCACTTTGGTTGTTAATTTTAGTATTGTACTAAAGCTATTTTCTTGTGGCATTTTAAACTAAATACTATTTAACTGGGAATAAGCCACAATTAAAGATAAAAATATGTTTATTGACGTTTTAATTTCCACTTCGGAAATCGTTCTCAAAATACAAACAGTAAATTAACCAAATTTTGTTTTTTGTTACATAGTAAAAAATTCTTCTAATAATTTAATTTTATCTGACTCATTTATATTGACAATTCAGACATACATTATGCATTTTAAAGTAGACGACTTTAAAATGATATTGCCAATATTGTTGAGTTGCGCTCCTGGGACGACTTTACTTATAAGATAGTTCATTCGATTACATGATATCAACTTTAACTTGAGAATATCCGTCAGAAAAAAATCATAGCATGTAATTCGCCTTTAAAAAGACAAACACATAACATAATGACAGTAAAATTCTCCTGTTAGTCATTCCATAGTAAATTATGAGGGAAAAACCAGGAAAAAAAAACCTCACAATACTATCCCGACATGGTAAGTATTTGTTCGTGCATTTAGTTTACCTTCAATAAACACCAAAATTCTGATTTTATATGTTTTGTTATTTAAAAAAGATAAATGATGTATCCTCTATATGTTACTGACTTACTAATACTGGTATTTTCTTATTAATAACTTCCTCTTTCAATATTGGTAACCAGATCCTACTACATTCTACCGATGAATTTGCGACACAATTGGCCTCCTTAATAGTTATTTAAATATTAATTATCAACACACACCAATAGATATTTAAATTTCAAATCAAATCACAATATTAATGTAAAAAAGGGAATAATTAAATCCTTATACGATAGAGCCAAAATTACTTGTTCTAACGAAAATTCGTTCTTGGAGGAGAAACATTTGTTAACATCTGTTTTATTAAAAAATGATTATCCTTTATCGTTTGTAAATAAGAATTTTCAACAATCGATCGAATAGAACAGAACAACTTAGAACGAGATCCTACAGCATACACAAGGAATAATACGAGGAAAATAACAATACCGTACATAAAAGGATTATCAGAAAAACTTAAAAGGATAGGAAATAAATTCAACATTTCAACAACATTTAAAACAACAAACACGTTGAGATCTATTTTGTCCAAAAGCAAACTTAACAATGAACAAGAAAGGACAAAGAATTGCATTTATAAAATACCTTGTGAATGCGATCAGTTTTATTTAGGTGAAACATCACGGCCATTAAATGTTAGAATAAGTGAACATCAATCTTATATTAAAAATAGAGAATTTGATAGATCTCAAATATGTAAAAACGCATGGGATAATGAACATAGAGTTCAATGGAATAATTCAAATGTAGTCCTAAAAGAAACGGATGGTAAAAAAATTGGAGGCCAATTGTGTCGCAAATTCCTCGGTAGAATGTAGTAGGATCTGGTTACCAATATTGAAAGAGGAAGTTATTAATAAGAAAATACCAGTATTAGTAAGTCAGTAACATATAGAGGATACATCATTTATGTTTTTTTTAAATAACAAAACATATAAAATCAGAAGTTTGGTGTTTATTGAAGGTAAACTAAATTTACGAACAAATACTTACTATGTCGGGATAGTATTGTGAGGTTTTTTTCCTGGTTGTTCCCTCATAATTTACTATGGAATCACTAACAGGAGAATTTTACTGTCATCATGTCATGTGTTTGTCTTTTTTTAGACGAATTACATGCTATGATTTTTTTTCTGACGGATATTCTCAAGTTAAAGTTGATTCGATGTAATCGAATGAACCACGTCCATTCAGACTAGTTGAGCCAGAAAGCCTTGCCTCCGCTCGCAGAGATAAGCATCCTTTAAAGTTTAAACCGAGGACGTTACAGGGGTTACAGCAGTCTTAACTCCGCTAGTATTACAATTACAAGTATGATGCGGATAAGAGACTTTGAGATATGGGTTTTTTTCGGAAGAAGTTAAATTCAGAATACGTGACCAACCTTAAGATATTGAGAAGGATTAGGTTTGAGAGAAAACTCTTAAACATTGTAAAAACAAAATAACGGGTTAACTATAACATAACTTCCTACTACTTATATTCGAAGGAAAAAGATTTTCATTAATACCGCGGAGAATGTACTTTAAAGCTTATCGTTTCGTCCTCATATATTCTTGTCTTCTTTCCTTTAGAAAGGGGTATGCATGAGGAGGTTACCCAGTCTTGTGGGAGTATTCTTGTTTTGTGTATTTCATTGAAGAAGTACAATAATTTATAATAATTGTTATACGTTTAAACACCACCTCGAAACTACTTTTTTATACCCATTTTGTTTTTAGTTTCTTTATTCCAGGGATTTCTTTGAGTTTCTTATACATATTTATTTTCCTTTTTTTTTCTAGCTCTATACTTCTTTGCACTGAACTTTTAAGTAATACTCTTTGCTTCTTTAATTTTTTTTATTTGTCTGTCTACTAAATTACATTTTTTGTTGTTTTTTTATCGTAGAGAGCCTTCTTTTCTTTAAGCTTATAATTATCACTTTTTTTGACTAGTTACTTGATTTAAGTGGTCAACGAGAAACATAATAAAACTATTAAATATATTAACACTAATAGTTTAATTGTCAATTTCATACTATATTACAAATTTTCTTATTCTAAATTAAACAGTACTTTACAATTTCTAAACATTGACTAAATATTGTCAACGTATTCTTAATAAATATTATCTAAAACAAAATACCTATCATAGTTAATTAACGTCGATACGCATGTAGTTACCGTAATATCCCAATATATCGCAATTTTTACAAGGATTTGGGCGTCGATCTTCGTTAACTACCATATTTTCTAATTCTTCAAATCTTGGACGGTGTTTCTGAATGGTTGCGTACCACAAATCTAAAAAAACAAATGTGACATTTAATCTGTTGAATCTGTGAGTCTTTTTAATTTACCTTTTAATTCATCCAACGACTTTTCATTACCACCATATTCTTTGGGTAATATTTCCCTAGGTACCACTTTATACAAATCGGCTAAAGACTCATGCACAAATATCTAAAGTAAAATAAATTTTAAATTATGAATGTGAGCGATGTACGTACCTAGGTACACATTATTTGTACAAATTGTTTAAAGAATTGTGAAATAACAACAAAAATAAAATCAATCACTTTTATTTTCTCTCTATTGTTAAATATACATGAAAATATAAAATATAACAAACAAAAAAGAAACACTCTATACCCACACATAAAAGATAAAGATACTTGGAAGACACACCATCGTGAATTATGGCAGAACAACGAAAAACGCAACGAAAAGACAATTCTCAGAAAGCTGTTTGTAACTTTGTTCTCTACTCTGATCGAGTATTAATGATGTCTCTCAACTCTCATTTAAAACGTAAAATAAATATAATCCAAGTATATGCACCCACTCAAGACTCAGACAAGGATGAAGACACTACAAACAAAGAACATCTATAAACGAATTGTCAATGTCTTGGAGCTGACTAAAAGGTCAGCAATCATCATAGCTATTCGGACTTTTGACTGTAATATATGATATAAATATGATAATCTTCTTCTTCTAGTGCCGTCCCACTAATAAAGGTTTGCTATAACCATTGCAAATTCGTCTCTATTTTCTGCTTTTCTAAGAGCGTCTGTGTGTTTAACCCAGTCCAGTCGTGAATGTTTTTCAGCCAGAATATTTCTTGTCTATCATGACCCCTTTTTCCTTCGATTTTACCCTTCATAATCAGCTGCAATAATTCGTACTTATCATCTCTAAGTATGTGCCCCAAATATTCTGTTTTTTGCCTTTTAATAGTGGTCAAAAGTTCTATGTCTCTTCCCATTCTGTGCTACACCATTTCGTTCGTAATATGATCGGTACATGGTATCTTCAAAATTCTCCTAAAAAGTCACATCTGAAAAGCTTCCAGTTTTCTTATTAAGTTAACATTATTAGTCCAGGCTTCGACAAAATAAAGAAGATAGAGGAGTAGATTTTACCATCCGATATTGGATTTGCAGATTGAGGCCTTGGAAACTCTATTGCTCTTGCTCTATTCTTGAGCGAATTTCTGATTTCGGATTTAGATCTTCCGTAATCCAGACTCCTAAATATTTCATTTCGTCCACTTGCTCAATATCTTCATTTTTTATCTGGATCCTTGTAATGACTTTGCCCCTCTTACTGATAACCATGGTTTTTGTTTTCTTTATGTTTATTGTTAAATCAAACTGTTCCCCCATCACAAATTGTATTTAGTAACGTCTGCAGGTCTGTTTCACTTTCAGCGAGAAGGACTGTATCGTTAGCATAATGGATATTATTTATATTTTCACCATTTATCTTGATCCCTTCTGTACAGTTTTCAAGTGCTTGCGTAAATAACTTTTCGGAATATATATTAAATAGTAATGGTGAAAGTACATAGCCCTGTCTCACTCCTCTACTTATCTGTTGCGCATCCGTGGTATTGGACAAGAGTTGTGAAAGTATACAACTAAACTATCGAAATCGTTACGAAAGCTAAACTGTCTATTACTTTCTGAATAAAGTGCGATATTAAGCATAAATCTAAAATACTATAATGGGAGATTTTAACGCTAAATGGGAGGAAGTAGAAGATTAGAATTGTGTGGGGCGATATGGACTCAGGAAAAGGAACAAACGTGGCGATAGGCTTGTTGAATTCTGTATCAATGAGTTACTTACAATTGCAAATACCTTACACTGCAAATACCTACTAAATAGTCAGAGACCAAATAGATTATATTACCGTCAACAGAATATCTAGAAATTCTATAATATCTTTCAAAACTTACCCAGGAGCGGACATATTCTCAAAGAAGATAATGCAGAAACTCTAACTATTGACCAAAAATATGGAAAAATTTAACATGCCCTCGTGTGGAAAAACAAACCCTCAAACGATGACAATAGAAATTCTTGAACTTATGAAATCACGAAGAAAATTCGAGAGGCATAAGAGAGGTGGCTCTCCGACAGATTCAAGGAAATAGAAGATCTGCATAAAAACGATGATAGCTTTAATTTACACAAAAAATCAAAAAAAAGACAGGTTCTAGAAAAAGCACAATAAAAAATATGCTTAAAAATGATAAAGGAGATATTATTACTGATGTGAAGAGAAAATTGTGTCACAGGACCAATAACATCAAAAGAAGAACTATCATTAAAAACCACAAATGATATCAGACCATCAATATTATGGGACGAAGACATATATGCTATCAAAAACACAAAAGAGACCAAAGCTACTGGACCAGATGATGTGCCCATCGAATTATTAAAACTCATTGTTGAAGATGAGTACAGACTAGAATGATGACTTGGGATGACCTCAGTGGAGCTGTTTCGCAGAGCAGTCAACAAAACCATGATAGCCTTGATGATCGCCAACATCCGGACCGGATAAGGCACTGAAGAAGAAGAGACTAGAAACGTTGAAGGCTGTGACATTTACAGGAACACATCAAAACAAATTTTTAGACAATATCTGGCTGGTCATCAATTTTAATACTTACTTTTTCTTTTAAATCTTTATATATAAATTTTCTCATTAATGCTATTAAGGCTTCAGACGTACTAGAAGCATTGATAACGTGCATTTCCTTAATTTGATTATTCCAGATTTCCTAAAAATATATATAATGTACTTTTTCTTTTAATATAAGTAAATGTATTAGTATTTTCTAAATTATACGAAGTGCAGCATTAGTGCGAGGAAGTCCAACTACTTATTTGTCGTAAGAGATAAGAAAAAATTTTTGAGTAAAAGTTAGAAAATAGATAGGGCATTACTCTGAAAATATTTTCAAATATACAGGGTCACCCATATTGACAAAGTTAAACAATCTTATCTTTTTTCATGGAACACTTTATATATTTTTACTTTTTGGGACTTTAAACTAAGAGTTCAAAAATGTAAAAATGTACAGGGTATTTTATTGAAAAAAAATTATTCCACCCTATTGATAAGCCCTGTATAAATACAATTTTGAAATATTCTTAGAGTACTTAAATGTAACTTGATTGCCACTTCGAATGTGCCGCTGGTAAATAGTCCAACTCTGTGTGAAAAACTTTACTTGAATTAACACAATAAGTATTGTTCCGCTCGCTATCCGCCGGCATCGATTCTCTTATTTTTAAGTGCTTTCACCTTGAGATTCTTTTAGTGACTCTTCTTTTAATCTTCGCCTATTATACACACATCTTCATCTACTTAGACAGCTGCGTTGGTGCATTGGAAAAAATGCACGAATTAAACTTAAAATAGATGGTGGCGTGTACAGTACTTCTATTGGCGAGGAACCGCAAAGTAGGCGACGCCTGGTGGTAGATTTTAAAAGCGTCCACTTCGAGAAAACATTGAAATTGTCATTATTTTGTATACATATTAGCGACCGGTTTATATTGTAATTAACAATGACTTCGACTTCAAAAAACTATTGCAGTGTTCCTCAATGTTCATCCTATTATAATTCACAAAAAAAAATTCCATACATACAAGTTTTCGCTGGACGAGAATATGAAAAAAGTTTGGCAATGCGTTTTGTGAATTGGCAAACATATAACTAAGTACGTGTTTGTGTGCAGTTTACATTTTACTGAGAACGATTACTTTCCAAGTGTTGATTAAAATATTATTTATATTTTAATATAATTATACTTAATTTACTTTATAGTAACAACTGAAACTAAATTAAGAAGACTGAAGAAAAATCCTGTTCCATCAGCTAAATTGCTCCAACGGTCCCATGAAGTTATTAGTAGAAAACGTAAGGCGTAATTTACAAAATATACTTAACGTGGCCAGCTCCAAAAACTGCCTCACCCTCAACTAAAGATCTCTGCCGATCTTGCAACCATATAAATAATTAAGATAATGTAAATTTTACTTCCCGTGTTTCAGACATACTGTAGAAAAACAAACATTTAATTTTATTTTTATTCAGGTTTGGGAGTCGATTACCTTATATATAAACTCTAATCACAAACAAACAAACTTTGAACAACGTACTTTTACTTTGGCAAAACACATGCGTAAATGACTTATATTAAACGTTTTATACCTTAGAGATTAAATGACAAAATGATTTGTTTTCTCGAAGTTATCGTCTATCTTTAAAATCTTCAGCGCCCCCTGTCGGAATTGGCTATGGCGAATAATACTATCTAATCTGCACCTTTTACCTAATTTTATTATTATATATAAATACGATAAATGAGTAAATGAACTTTCTCGCACTAATGCCATACCCTGTATTTAAATTCTTAAATTCTGAAGATTGACATAATTTATAAATAAAGTTTACCTCGCAGATAAAATCTAGTTTTTTGAAAAATTGGAGACTTGCTTTTTTTGCATGGCCAAGTTTTACGTTAGAAAAGTCGAATATATAAATATCGCCCAATGATAGACCTTCCCAAATTTTAACTTCGTTTATATGTGTCATTATTACTACTGACAGTTCACCAACTAATTTTTCTGGATCGCCATTAAGTCTTGCAAAGACGACATTCTGTAGATTTGGGGTCAAATTTGGCAGTGGTACAAATGTTCTGAAAAATAGTTAAATAGTTAAGTAAAATGATTAGGGGTATGACAGTTTCTTTATATACACCACTTTATATGAACGTTTAATCACAAATTATTGTTAAAATCAATTAACAAACATCATCTATATCAATATATCAATAAAAACAGATATAAAAGATATTTGGAGACAATACTTTACACAAAAATTTAATGAATACGAGGAAACCCAACGAACGAAGAACCAAAGACTACAAAGGAGAAAAATTGGGGGGAAACTGGGAAGAAATAAATAAGGAAACAAGGAAGAGCTGGAGGAGAGGTTATCAAGAATTAAGTCGGGTGAAGTGGACGACATCGATCTTAAAATGGTAAAAGGAAAGTGGATAGGGAAAGAAGAAGACCAATCAATCAGGTGATATCAAACAGAGTGAAAAAAGCAAGCAAAATTTACTATGGACTGAACAACACGATTTTTGTAAAAAAGAAATAGAAATAGAAGTTAAGCTCAAGATGTTTAATGCAGTAATAATACAATGTTGTATGTAAGCGAGATATGGGTCAATAACACCAAAAAAGACAGCGCGCTGAACACAGTGGAAATGAAACGACTAAGAAAAATAGCTGGTGTCACAAAAATTGGATCATACCAGAAATAATTACGTAAGAAACGAATTTAAGCAGCGATTCCTACTACAGGATAGGATCTAAAATCAAACGAAGAAAATTAAAAGGGTTCCGATACATTATTAGGATGGATCATAGCAGACTAGTAAGAAGAGTAATAGAATCCAAGAGATACGAGAAAAGAAGAAAGGGAAGACCAAATATGGGAAGGGAACAATCACTGAAAATAGGCACAGAAAAATGAAAATCATTTCAACACATGAAAGAACCAGCTAGGGGCCAGAAAATGTGAAAGGGGTGAATACAAGAAATATGAAAATATCACTCCTTTCCGAGAAAGAAATAAGATAACTCGAAAAGAATCAAGTCTACAGAAAAACTATACGAGACATATTTTGTTCAGGATCATCTACAAAATTAAAAAAAATATTGTTTAAAAGAATTTGAACAATTTTTTGTCTGGACGACCTCTTGAACCTTATTATGGGGTATCTTATGAAAGTGATTATGGAAAAAAACTCATGAAAACGGTTTTCCGAATGAACACAAGGTTTTTGCCTTGATACCGACGACTTTTACTTTGTTTATCTAATAAAAACAGCATCTGGCACTGACTATTGTAGTTTATAAGATGTTTTACTGAATTGCTCAATAATTTGCGTACAAAACTAGATTGTAGAAGGAAAATATATAAACAAAAAAATAAATAACGCAAACAAAATTTAGAAAACATGCAACAATTTGTATTTTTTATAAAGTCCGCTCTCTAGGTCTAACCGCTAAATAATTGTGATCTTCTAATTTTCTTAAGAATAAAGGCTGTACTTACAGTTCTTCATATACACTTTTTACAGTTGAAGAAAAAGGAAGAGTGTTTTGGTAAATATCTGGTATAATTGTTTTTACCGAATAGTACATATCCAGGGATTGTTTTGTTTTCTCTATACTAAAATTGTTATAAACCAGAAAAAAGGTAATCATGGTATCAGCTGTAAAATAAAACTTTTATTATTTCTTAGAATTTCGTAATATTTTTGGTAATATTTTTAGTAATATTTCTGGTGGTGTACTGATGGTCAAAAAGCTTCTCAATGTGCTTTCTGTAATTTTCCGGGTTTGACTCTGGGTTGAATAATTTTGGTTTTAATAAAAACCATTAAACAAAGAAGTAAAAAAAGAGGTAAGTAAAGCCAAAAATGAGATGTGGAATAAAGGCTGCGATAACGTAGAAAATTTTATGGGTACAGCAAGAAGTAAAGAAGCCTGGAAAACAATTAGAGGTAGTAGAACAGATAGAAAAAATGCAGTAGGTTAACTCTAATAGCCCCAGAATTATGGGTCGAATATTATAAACAAATGCTGACAGAAGATCGAACAAAATTCAAAGATATTGTCTACCAAAAATATGATATTTCCTACCGCGAAGAGACTGAAATAACACCAGAAGAAATTAAAAAACACGCCAATGCTATGAAAAATGGAAAGGCTCCAGGACCGGGGGGAGTACCCATTGAACTAATTAAATATGGCCCTGACAAACTATTTCAGCTATCGGCTTATACTTTTAATTTATTCTTGAGAGGAGAAGAGCTACCTCCAGAATGGAAAACTGCATATATCAGCAATCTATACAAAAATAAAGGTGACAGAAAAGATTGTAAGAACTACCGAGGGCTTAGTGAAACTAACTCAATCTGTAGAGTCTACGGGAAGATAATTAAAAGCCGGATTGAAGACTGTTGGGAAGACGCTTAAGATCAGAGTGGCTTTCGTACTGGTCGTTCTTGTATAGACAATGTGTTCTGCCTAAAACAAACAATAGAAAAGCGTTTGGAACATAATATGGAGACACGCATGGTATTTATTGATCTTCAAAAAGCGTATGACAGTGTCCCATTAGCCAAGCTATGGCAGGTGCTAGAAGACAGGAATATTCCACCGATTTACATTAATGCTGTAAGGGAGTTGTACCATGATATAATGAGTGAAATAAAGATTGGACAAAAAGTGACAAAAAAGATAAAAGTGACCAAAGGACTTCACCAAGGCTGCTGCACTGCACCTACACTCTTTAAGATTTATTTGGAGGGGGTTTTGGATATTTGGAAAAGAAAATGTGAACCTATGGGTGTTAAAATTGGAGACCATACACTGTACAGCTTGCATTTTGCTGATGATCAAGTAATAGTTGCAAAAGGTCAAGATGATATCTACTACATTTTACGAAAAATAGATGAAGAATATACTAAGTGGGGCTTATCAATTAATCCATCAAAAACAGAGTACGTAGTAGTGGGAGGTGAGGAAAGCACTTAGAATTAGGAAGCAAACAAATTCAAAATACTGATAGCTATAAATATCTTGGTGTAAACATTACAAACAATGGTCGGAATACAAAAGAAATAGCTACTATATAGAATTGGTCAAGGAAATTCAACAATACGTCGACTGAATAGTATACTTTGGAATAACCACATCACCCGAAACACAAAAATTAGGATATACAAAAGGATGTATATACAAAGGATATACAAAAGTATCATAGAAAGCATTGCTACATATGATTCAGAGCTTTGGGTAATAAATAAAAATGACGCATCCAAAATAAAAGCTATGGAAATGAATTATTGGAGAAGATGTTGCTAACTCACTAGAAGAGATAGAGTAAGGAATACTGAAATCAGAGAGCGTATGGGCATAGACATTGACATCTTGGAAATTATAGAATGCAAAAGGCTGAAATAGTATGGCCGATCAACGATGGCCAAAGAGAATGTTACAGTGGATCCCCACCAACCGCAGAAAAAAGGGATGACCAAGAAGATCGTGGAGACAAGAAGTAAAAGGTGCAATGGAAGATAGGGGTCTACAAGTAGATCACTGGAACGATCGCAAGCGTTGGAAGTTAGGTTGCGAGAAACGGCGGCAGCTGTAATAAACTCCTTATATATATATATATATATATATATATATATATATATATATATATATATATATATATATATATGTAAACCATTATTTTAACGACGTGTCGGCAAGGTCGCACTTGCCATTGTCAAGTCAGGTAATAGTGCTTCTCGCTGATGCTTGAAGTTAACTTGCCAAAAGTCGTTAAAATAATGGTTATTATTAAAACCAAAATTATTGAACGAATTTCAAAAAATTTGAGATGCGTGTGATAAATAATAAAGGAATATAAACCTTATAAATATTAAAATAATTAGAAATTTCTATTTAAGTAAAAATAAAATCAATTACCGGATATTTCAGGCAGGTGGACTTGGGACTGAAGCCAAGCTCTGATAACCCCGACGTCATGGGCAACATTTTCTTTGCTTTTCCCAAAATGATTAAAAATCTTTTGAAAATCTGTGTTAAAATACATTTTTTAATTCAATTGCAGAAGATGGCTAGTAAGACAGGTTCCGATTTTTGTAACCAAATCTTTAAATACTTCAAAATTCAAGGCTATCGTCGTTATTAAAATTTATTAAACTTACATAATTTTCAAAATATAGAAAAAATTAGAAATAAACAAACCTAAAAAATTACTTAAAATAAATAGCAGATAAAAGAATATAAAATTACGAATTGTCTAAAAATGGATATACAGTGTGGAAACCATTTATGAAATAAAATTGGTAGTGACTTTATTTTAAAAATAATAAAAAACGCCAGGACTCATCAACTTAAATCAACTTGAATCTAAATATGCGTTTTTAAAACATAAATTTAAATGTACAGGGTGATTCACGCAAGTCTAGCGCGGTCAATAATCTTTATTTTTAACGGAAAGCCTTTATATGTATATTTTTATATTTTTAAAAGGTTCTTACAACCTGATATAAATGAACTATATTATGTACGATTTTTTATGAATAGTACAGGGTGGCATTTTGAAGTTATACATCTGTTGTGTTATTTCTCTCCTTGTCTCCTTGAAAAAAGCCCCAAGTAATTTGAATATCTTCAGTTTCGATATTGTTATTGTTTTCACCAGGTATTTGAAGATAAATTTTAGTCTTTCCTTCCGTCATTATATGCTTTAAAAAGGTATGTATGACTCATTCATGCGGCACTCAATCAAAGGCCTTCTTGTAGTTAATGAAGGTAGTAAAAGGTTCCTTTGTGTATGCCTGGTTAGAACTTACTTACTTACTTAATCAGTAGACCCATTTGTACCTTTCGATGTTGGGCCGTTTATAATACAATTCTTTATGTCACTGTTCCATTCTTTAATGGGTCTTCCTCTTCTGTTCTTCCCTATTAGTTTGGCGTCCCACATTCTTTTTACTTGTCTATTATTGTCCATCCGGTTTAGATGTCCGAACCGTGCCTATTTTTTCGCCTTGCTTGAGTCGAGTATCGGTTTGACTTTAAACAGCACTAAATACAGATTACTGAAAATAATCCTTGAAGGCAAGGTATTCGGAAAATGAAGAATTAGGAGAAAAAGAATACCATGGTTAAAAAACCTGAGGAAATGGTTTTCCACAACAACAACAAATCTATGTAAAGCATCAGTTTATAAAATAATTATAGCTAGAATGATGGCCAATATTCGAAACGAATGGGCACCAAAAGAAGAAGATATGAGTCAATTATAAGTTGATCTTTTCAGCTCATAAAACCCTTATCCCCTTAGCTAGAAATCTAGATCTAGATAAATAGAAAGCTGGATATTTTCTCTTAAGGCTCTATAATGTTGTTTAGAGCACAGTGCTGGTGGATACGCCGGGTACACAAGACGTGACCAATTTGTATAAAGTTTTAAGACAAGTAATTCGGCGGTACTTGGCTGGACCTTGGGTGTTATTTTGATCCTTCGGTATTAGATAAGTCGTTCTCTGAGTAAGAAATGACGGTGAAAACTTCTTTAGCCAGAAGTTTTGAACTCTGATATTATTTAAGACTCCTTCAGTGGTAAAGGGTTCGTAAGAAATATTATTGTAATATTGACAGTTGTGTATCGTGTCTTCAATCTATCGCGTTTTGGTGTTATGAGTAGCTGACGTTGAAAGTCGATTTTCCCAAAAATGTTTCCCGATTTTCTCATAAATTTCTTCTAAGCTTGGGTATGATTTATTTTCATTTTCTTATGTGAAATTGAGTTTTCTATAAAACTATTAAACTATTAATAAAACAATTTTCGGTTATTACTAACGTTGTATCTCTATACGATAATATTATTATTATAACTACAGGAAATTAATATAATGGTATATTTTATTAATATAATTTATTTAAAATTTATCCAAAATGTGTACAAATCTTCAAAAAGTTTTTGGTCCAGTGGGATTATCATCAGTTAAAAACACCTAAAGTAGTTAAAACTAGCTTCGTAATTAAATGTGGAAACCATTGTATTTGATATAAGTGGAATTCTTTGATAGAACTCATCAGTAATTTGAATATTATAATGACACTAGGTCAATGTTATATTTTGATTTAACATGAAGGCAACATATCTTTTCTGCTCGAAAGAAGTACCTTTGTCCTACAACTGACATAACTGTCATAGAATCAGCTTATATTTATTTATATGCTGCTTCTTTATTGCTATCCTTGAGTTTATTGACAACTAATGATATTTTGGATGTTTCTTTTTTAACTAGTTCATTTTTAGTCTCGTTTTTAGTCTAGTCCCGTTTAATATTAGCATTAGCATTAGCATTTAGCACCAATGTATAACCAGTAAACGACTTATCAGAAATAGTGGGTGGCAATGGGAAACAATATAACTACCTCCAAAAGTTGAGAGTCAATGTAAAATAATAAAACTCGCAACTTTCTTTGGTAACCAATTGTAAAGGTACGTTTATATTAGAGATTTTATTCCTTACATTTCTCTCTGAAATAAAGTATATGAAATGTAAACAGTGGTGATAGAAACTAGCCGAGATTTATTCAAATAGCTGAGAGAAAATGATCGAGACAAAATATAAATGCTGAGACAAGTCTTAAGTAGTTTCTGATAGATCTCGCAGGAGTTGGCTGGCGGTCTACTTTTTAGTAGTCTCTCAGGGTACTTAGTGCTACGTTGTAGAGTGTTTACAATAGGTAAAATGTCCGATAATAAAAACAATGGACACGGGCAGAAGTGACCGATTTAATTGCTTGCTATGAACAACTCCTTTGTCTGTGGAATATACTTTCCAATGAATATAAAAATAAAATAATAAAATCCGATGCCTTTAAAAAATTAGGTGAAAAATTCAAGACCAGTGTGGAAGAAATTACTAAAAAAATGCATAACCTCCTGAACCAATTGAATACGAAATTAAAGAAAATTAATTCTAAAAAATCGGGACAAGGAAATGATGACAATTATGAAACAAAATGGCCTTATTTCAAAAATTTATTGTTTATAAAAACTAGTTTAGTTGAATAAAATTTTCTTGATGATTTTTTTGTCATCAAAAGATTATGTACGTACATACAGCAAAAACGCACCTATCGGAAATATGTCCATTGCATCCAATATCGACAAGTAAAAATTTGTAGAAGAGGGTTGAAAGACAGATACAAGATATTGAAGAACAAAGCGGTTTTCGTACCGGGAGATCCGGCCTTGATAATATATTTATCCTACGACAAATAATTGAAAAGCGTGTCGAAAGAAGTAGAGAGACCCATTTGGTATTTATAGACCTTGAGAAAGCATATGATAGTGTCCCGTTAAAGAAAATGTTTGAGGTCCTCGAAAGGTCCGGATTGGATTCGACGTATATCCAAGCGATATATAAATTGTACGAAAATGCAGTTAGTTGTGTAAAAATTGGAACCAGAACTTCAAATGAATTTAAAGTCACTAAAGGCCTAAAGCAAGGATGCTGTTTGTCACCGACACTCTTTAAAATATACGACCAAGAAGCATTGAGGAATTGGAGAAATAAATGTAGATTTATGGGCATCGAAGTGGGACAAGAAACTCTGTATACATTGTTGTTTACAGATGATCAGGTGGTGGTTGCAACCGATGAGGAAGATATAAATTATATCAATCGAAAATTATTTGAGGAATATGCCAAATGGGGGCTTACTGTAAATAGTATGCAAAACAGAATATTTAAAAATTGGAGGAAATACCACAGATCTGAGGCTTGAAAACGCAGGCATAAAAGGTTGCAATCCGTATAAATATCTAGGTAGCATCATATCAGCAGATGGCAGAGTTAAGATAGATGTACAAAACCGAATAACCCAAGGGAAAAATGCATCCGAATACTGAATTTATTACTGTGGTCTAATAAAATAAAGATGCATACCAAACTTCGTGTATACAGAGCAATTGTAGAACCGATTACCACATATGGTGCCGAATGTTGGACGATGACAAAGAATGAACGAGATAAAGTAGAAGTTGTGGAAATGGATTATCTTAGAAGGTCATGTCGAGTATCGAGAATGGAAAGAATCAGGACTGAGGAAATACGAAACCGTACAGAAATTAGAGATACTCTTTCAGATAGAATACAAGGAAGGCAATTACAATGGTATGGTCACGTGATGAGAATGGAGGAGGAGCGGTGGCCAAAGAAAGCCTTAATGTATGTTCCGCCAGAAAGAAGGAAAAGGGGAAGACCACCAAATTCCTGGAGAAGAGAAATTACAAAAACAATGTAATCTAGAGGCTTAGAAGAGGGAGATTGGAGAGATAGGAAAAGATAGAGGCTGAAATGCGGTAAGCGGCAATCGTCGTAGGACCCCCGTTATATGATGATGAAAAATTTGTAGTCTACCAATGCCAAAAGGACCACGCTGTGAAACTCTTTGTAATTAAAAAAATAACACCCTGAATTTTTATGGTGGCGTGTTTACCGTCTAATGCAGCTCTACAGTGTGGAAAATTCCACTTTTTTTAAATCACAACTTATCTTTAACCATTATTCATTTGTTGTTGCTATCTGAAATAGAATAGCATTAAAAAACAATTATTTTTAGGGTAAATTTAATTATTATAATGCAAACTTTATTCGTATTTTTAGGAACAATGTGATGAAGGAGAAAAGGCTCTTTCAGCATCTGGAGAATATAAATGAAGAAAGCACTTCTGACTCCATTAAAGAAAAATTCCAAAAAACCAGTCAGCCGGTAAAAAAAAAGCGAAGATAGACGATAAGGAAGAATTACTTGCGAAAGCACGAAGCGCACTTTCAAATGAATGATGAGTATGATATCTTCGGTTTGTTTATTGCTGGTGAACGTAGGGAATTGCTTCACAATTTTTTGGAAAGAAAATTAAAGAGAGGGATTCGGAAACTCGCTTTGGAAATTGCAGAGGAGGATGAAGATATGAGTTCCTTGGTTTAATTTTCAAATACTGTTGACTACAATCCTTCGTCCAATTTAATTCAGAGCTCCGTGTATACTTTGCCAAATGAGTATACTGATCTTTAGTTTATTACATCAATAATAATTGATTCTAGTAAGCAATTAATGTAGAATCCATTTAGTTTAATAAAGGTTTCTTTAATTTAAAATCACTTACCATTAAATAATCCTTTGAGCCAATGGCAATGGCTTGACACACTTCATAAACTATACCCGATATTGCAAACTTTGATTTGCGAAATAGATAGCTCACACTAATGTAGCTGTCACCTAAAATATATTGTGTTTTTACTTCTGCTATCACAGAAAAATAAAACTTTTATATCTGTGGCTCAATATCTTAAAGTGACAAGCACCCTTTCATTAACTGAAATTGCTTCTCTCATTTTGGTGTCATTTTTTTGGATCAATGACCCCACCAAATTTTTAAATTATCGATATTTGTTGACGACATTCGAAATTTTGTGATTGTATTGAATTTTCAACTTTTAGCTCATTAATTATCCGAGTGTAAGCCCCTGCAGTACTTCTTCTTAATAACTAATTCTTCATCCACACTTTCTTTTTTCTTCTTTGTTTTTATCGTCCAATAATAAAATTATTATTGCAGCAGCCTGACGTTTTCTACAAGCCATGGTAAAATTTTAACTGAAAGTAGACGGTAGACATGGGAATTGAACTTTTTAAATCAATTCCCATGTGTCTCAAGCGAAAGGTTTATAACCAATGTGTTTTGCCTGTACAAACTTATGGAGCAGAGACTTTAACACTCACGCAAAAATCTGTGAATAAACTCAGAGTTACACAACGAGCCATGGAACGTGCAATGCTGAACGTGAGCCTTCGAGACCACATAACAAACCAACAAATCAGGCGAAGATCAGGAGTTCAAGACGTCATCGAAAGAACCACGACGCTTAAGTGGAACTGGGCAGGGCACTTAGCCAGAACACAAGATGGACGGTGGATGGACAAGACAAGATGGACAAGACGTATTATGGAATGGAGGCCCAGAAATTATAAAAGAAGCCTAGGACAACCACCGACTAGATGGACCGGTGACATTAAACGTGTAGCGGGAAACTGGCTACAAGCGGCCCAGTGTAGAGAACACTGGAAAGAACTGAGGGAGGCCTATGTCCAGCAGTGGACGCGATTGGCTGATTGATGATGATGATGAGACGGTAGACGGACAGAAAAAGTGTGATCTTAATTCTCTTATGTGTCTAAACAGAACAGCAATTTATGTCAGAATTTCCTGTCAACTAGAGGTATTAGGTATTTTACTGCGTGACACTTATGTCGTAGTGAAAACTTGCAAGGAAATTTATTTCTCGACACCTGAGATATCTATAATGATATAAATCTCTAGTATAAACATACCTTAATGCCTCGTTTAGCTTGGTCTCACAGGTAAGACAATGTTTTATCTTAAAAGTAAATCGGAAAATGGGTTTTGCTAGGACAAATAAAACAACATATTAACTAATAATATTTATTGTACATAAATAAATATAAAATAAAAATTTTCTTAACAAATTAAATTCAAGCAAAACAAATCTTACCTATTCTGTGCTTACCGTCCATACCCAAGAACTTTTAGCAATTATTAGTTCTTTAAGCAATTATTTTGTATTGATTTATTCTACCTTAGGACAGACAATGATGGCGAAAAAGACTCATGATATACAGAGTCAAACCATTCATTATACCTTCCACCACTGACGAATCTATTCTGATTTATCATCATAAATTTTAGTAACGTCAAATGTTTCAAGGGCGCCTCCCTCAAAATTACCAAAATACGCAATAAAAATTTGGTTAAAATAAAATATATTTACCTTACCATACCTTATTCTAAATTAAACTAAATTTTAAAATTAAATTAAATTAATGAAAACATTTAACACGGTATCAGAAATATAAGAATATAGGTATTAATTATAAACAGGTAACACATAAAACCAAATAATTTGTTTAGTTAACATCAATTTGCATATAATTACCGTAGTATCCTAAAATATCGCAATTTTTACAAGCAGAAGGACGTCGATTTTCTTGAACCTTCATATTTTCTAATTTTTCAAATCTAGAGCGGTGTTTTTGAAGAGTTTTATACCATGAATCTAAAAAACCAAAGTTAAATATAGTTTTTAAACAAAATTCCTTTTCTGTACCTTTTAAATCATTTAACGACTTTTCATCACCACCGTATTCCTTTGGTAATATTTCCCTAGGCACAACTTTGTACAAATCAGTTAAAGACTCATGAACAAACACCTAAAAGAAAGTGAATTTTTAGTTAGAAAGGTAAGGAATGATATTGTAAATAGCAAATAGTTTTGCTTTTGTAAACAGAGGCTTTATTTTTGGCAATTATTATAATTTTATAGTTTATTCGTCTTCCGGGTTTGGACCGTGTCATTTGTGAGTGACCCAAAAGTGGGTTCATCTCGACGTTTCGCTACAATTGTATGTAGCTTCTTCAGGAGAACAAAGAAAAAGAAATCAAAAGACAGGAAGATGGGTAGTTAGCAACGGTAACTCAGTTACTCAAAGCAACCAGAGGCGAATACTAACTACCAAGATGGGCATTTGGTCACAGTAACTCAACTACTTAACGCAGCCAGAGGTGAAAACCAAATGCCAGGACAGGGATTCACGTCCAACAGCTCAGAACACTAACGCGTCGAGAGGCGGGGAGTGAATCCGGCATTTGGTTTTGGTGAATTTGGCATTTGGTCGGAATCACTCCCCGCTTCTCGACGCGTTAGTGTTCTGAGCTGTATAAATATATAAAAAAAAACTTAACTGATTCAGAAAAAACATATCCCAACCTCTACCAACTTTTTAAAGTATCGATTATTTTGCCTATTTCAAGCGCAACGTGCGAGAGGTCTTTTTCTGCCATGAGGCGGATTTTTAACTGGTTAAGAACGACAATGACTCAAGATAGACATTCAGATTTGGCTTTGTTGTATATAGAAAAAGATGTAGACATAGACTTAGAGAGTGTTGTAAATTCTTTTAGTGAACAGAGTAGGAAGTTTCTCTTGTAAGTAATATTTTGTTAATATTTTGTTTTTATAAATATTTATCGCAGTGTATATATTATATTATGTATTAGGTATATTAAAAAAAATAAAACTAGTATACTATTATAACGCATTTCTTCTATTTATTTTTTCATTGCACGGCAAATAAAAAAAATTAAATTTTTAATCAACCATACACTGGGGGCCAGGCTCCCCTTGAAAACTAAGGCTAGCTACGCCGATGGCGATAACTCTGGCAGGCATTTCAACGCTCTTATGGTTAACATAAGCTTTTCCCGATACCTTTTGTTTTTTGATAACATTACTTTTTGTCGGCTTTTTTTTACATTTAACTGGCCAATCAACATTCGATTCGGGGTCTCTTAATAATCTTGATAACATAACAATAATAATTCTTACTTGAAAAGAGGTAGCATTTATCTGGGTACCGTCGCATGTAGGAATAGCTGGAAATGAGAAAGTGGATAGCCTAGCAAACACAAGTCGAATACACTCACAATACACAATCAAATCAAGAAATTACCCATACTCCGATCTCAAAATCCTAATTAAAGACCACTGTATGAATATATGGCAAGACTACTGGAAAGATTCAGGAACCAAACTATATGAGATTTATCCCCTTGTGAAGACCATCTTGAATAATCCATCCAATAGAAGGGACCAAGTAATAATTAACCGACTAAGAATTGGACACACTGCACTGACCCATAAATTCTTAATCAACAAAGAATCTTCTCCAACCTGCAGAAACTGTTCTCTCCCATTAACGGTGAAGCATATTCTGATTGACTGCCAGTACCACGAAGAAGCAAGAAGAAAATATGGAATCTCTGATGACATCAAAACCGCATTAACCATAAACACTGACCAAGTATTAAAGTATTTAAAATATTTACGTTTATATACATCTATTTAATGTAAATAAAATGAATTCTTGTGTATGTTACTCCACTAATAACCCTGCGTGGTTGATGTGGGTTATATGTTAAATAAAAAAAAATAATTCTTACTTGTACATAAATATTAAACAATAAAATATGCACGTTATTACCTTAAATAAACCCACTATCTACTTACTTTGTCCCTTAATCTTCTATACAGGTATTTTCTTAGCAATGCGATTATGACTTCAGCTGCACTAGATGCATTAATAATGTGAAGTTCCTTAATTTGATTATTCCAGACTTCCTAAAATAAAAACCATATCTATGACCTTACTTAATATGCCAGTCAAATTCACCATATTTCTTGTTTTATAAATTTATATTTAAATTTTAGTATGTAAAATTACCTCGCAGATAAAATCCAATTTTTTAAAGAATTGCGGTGTAGCCTTTTTTACATAGCTTAGATTTACTTCACTGTAGTCTAAAATGTAAATATCGCCGAGTGAGAGATCTTCCCAAATTCTTACTTCGTTCATATGGGTCATTGTTACTATCGCTAAGTCACCACTTTATCTTTCGGGATCGCCGTTAACTTTTGAAAAAACTACTCTTTGCAATGTTGAAGTCAAATTTGGTAATGGTACAAGTGTTCTAAAAAATAATTAACAGGTTAACAGTATTTTGAGTGTATGAGATAAGAAAGACGTCATGATGACTACTCATTACATAGAATTTTGAGATTTTTTTGAAGCTCATAGATTCGGCAAAGCAATTATGGTTAGCTAGTCTTGTACAATGAGTCATGTAAAATATTTCCTAATAGTTTTGGAACAAAATTTATTGGCTTTAATATTATCAAAACAAAATAATATTAAGTTGTCTTTGGAAACAGAAATTTGTTTACTTCAAACATCCAGATAACATTGATGATCAAATAGTTATTTCAACAACGTTGTGTGATGCAACCTGATAGGTAGACTTCGGCAAATATGCATACTGCATATTTTGCATATTGTGCATATTTTATGCAAATATTTCATATTTTGGCATATTTGTATAAAAGTTTGCATAAAGTGCATAAAAGTTCAGATTTTTATACTGTATTTGAAAATTTTTAAACATACCAATTTATTTCAATTCTTGTATAAAATTTTGTAGTCATTTTAATCAAGAAATGATCTAAGTACGTAATCTCTACAGGTACAAAACATTTACAATTTCAAAGAAGATCAATTTAAGTAGCCCTCAACATTCTTAGAAAGTCTCGGTCACTGAGGCATTCAGTTATTGGATAATCGCTAAGGGTTCGCTCATTTGCATTTTATGATCTAATCCCCAAATCTATCTACAATTGATTGTATCTTAACAGCAGGTAAACGGCTAATAGTTTTGTTCCCAATTTAGGGATTTTCCAAAATCTCCCAGTTTATTGAATTAGGTACCTAAACATTTCTAATTTGATGCTCAGATTTGTAAATCATTTTTGTTTTGATATTTAAAGCGTAAACACTCGTGCGTAACAAAAAGGAAGATTGTGATTTTATAATGCCTAAAACAACCAGTGCTTCAACTTGGATTAAACCTTATAAAGAGCTGTCTATGAATATGGGAAAAATCTACTGTTCAGTCTGTGGCAAAATTGTAAGTATCTAATATTTTCTATTAAATATCTAATATTTCATACATACAGGGTGTTTCCAAATGACACTTACAACGTTTGACTGTAGATACTTCTCGAAAAATTGAACAAAACGATATAGTTAATGAGGGGTCAAACTTATTTACTTTTCGAGATACAGGGTGTTAAAATTTAAAAAAATTAAATTCTTTTAGTTAATAACAACAATAACTTTAAAACCAATAAACGTATTTACTTGAAATTTAGTAGGTTGTTTTTAAATGAAAAATAGCTTCCTCTAGTGAGAAAAAATTGTCCATGGTACAATACAATGGTGCGTATTTAGAAAAATTTTTCACCTTTACTTTTTTTTATGAAGTCAGCTATTCTAAAACACAATTATTTTTATTGTAATTGAATTAACAAAAAAAAACTTTTGTTGAATTTTAAAATAAGTTATATGATGTACTAATGGTTAGTAACAAAAACTAATTTGTGGTATAATACTGCATTTAAAACACTTAGCGAGTGTTTTTTTTTCCAAACCAGTTATTTGATTAACCAAAAACACCTTGTATATGTGAGAATGTGAGAAGAAATTTCAGATAGACCAACATGTGAGAACTGCTTCACACATTGCAAAAAAAGGAAAAATAGGAGGAAAACATCAAACTTCAATGGCTTAATGTTTCCAATCTACTTCAAAAAAATTAGATGAGCAAGAAACTTTTAATGAAGACTTGTGTCGCGCATTAGTGTCTGCAAACATACCGCTTTCAAAATTAGCAAATGTAAATTTTAGTTCTTTTCTAAAAAAATATTGCAAACTTAATGTTCCAAGTGATCGGTCTCTAAGAAGAAATAATGTGAACGTAGACGAAACCACTGATTCCTCAGGAAAGTATATTGCTCATTTATTGATTGGTGTTCTTAAAGAAGATACCTTACCAAAATCTCATCTTATTTCATGCCAGCAACTTGAGAAAACAAATGCTTTAACAATTTCGCGTTTTATACAAAAAACATTAGCAACTTTTTTTCTTCCGACAACTATTTCTTCTAATAAATTACTGCTTATTTTATCGGATGCTGCTCCTTATATGGTGAAAGCAGGACAAAATTTTAAAATATTTTTTCCACATTGATTACATGTTACTTGTGTAGCGCATGGATTAAACAGAGTTGCAGAGGAAATACGAAAAAAGTTTCCTCTTGTAAATACCATGATATCCAGTGTCAAAAAAGTATTTCTTAAACCTCCTATAAGAATTCAACTTTATAAAGAAATGCTACCTAACATTCCTCTTCCACCACAACCTATTTTAACGCGATGGGGAACATGGTTAGAAGCAGCTAATTTTTATGCAGATCATTTTGTTAAAATAATGAACATAATTGATACGTTAACAGATGAAAGTTCCCAATCTCCTTTGGATTCTAAACAAACTTTTCACAGTAACTTGCTTCAACAAGAACTTTCATTTATAAAATCAAATTTTAGTTTTGCTCAAAAAACAATTACTCAGTTATAATCACCAAAACTGTCATTGTTCGAAAGTACAGCATTAATAAAAGAATTTGCGTCATGTTGTCGGAACATTAGAGGTAATATTGGAAAAGATATTTTAAAAAAATTTGAAGCTACTATGGAAAAAAATAAAGGTTACCATATTCTTTCTGAAGTAGTCAGTGTTCTAGCTGGAAATATTTCGGAAACAATTAATTTAGAACCAAATGTTTTGGTTAGTTTGAAAAATGCTCCCGTTACATCAGTTGATGTTGAACGAAGTTTTTCCATATATAAATATATGTACTCAGACAGAAGCCACAAGTTTTTGTTAGAAAATTTTGAACACCACTTGGTCATTTATTGTTACCATAATTCTAAATAAGTTTATTCATATTTAAAAATGACGTAGTTACTTAAAATAAATGTAAATCTTAATGAATAGTAGGAAATATTTAGTTATGTACACTTTTTTTTTTAATAAAATTGTTACTATTTTACGATTTTTTTAGTTATTTGTATGCATATTTTGTAAAATATTTGCATATTTTCGGGTAAACACGTGCATATTTATGCGCATATTTTCTACATTTTTATTTGCATATTTGCCGAAGTCTACAGGCTTTTTATATTATTATAGCTTCTATCAAGAAATTTTTAAATTTTGTGGTACATGGTACACAGCCAACTAGGTACAGAAATTTAGTTTCCTATACTCACAAAAGAAACATTTAATTTGGTCCATACCTAGTATACAACTCAGACCTTTTTCAGTATATAGATCTACAACGTATAAGGAGCGAATCCAAACCATTCATCTACCCTGATAAATGTCAACAAGATAATGACTAGACTAATGACTGCATCATCATACAAATTTTCGAATTAATCAAAGATGCTACCCAATGCCAAAGCGTTCCTGTCACTTTCCCTACCATGATCATCAAAAAGGTATACGTACTGGTTTCCCAAAAACTACGACAATATCTAGTTATTGCATATCAGTGAAATAGAAGTACTGGAGGGGACCGTTGAGTTAACGCTATGGTTTAAACTTGAACCTATAATAAAATTTTCACCAATTTTAATATAACAATTAAAAAGAAAAGACGAACACCTAATAATCGAATCCCTAAAATTGAGAAGAATTCTTTTAGACGAACTACACAAGTTCTTCTTCTTATTCTCTTTTCTTTTTAAGCAATTCATTAGGGAATTAATACCTCTATGGAAAATTGTCACTCCATCTGTTGCGCGGTTGTATGTATCCAAACTATACCCTTTTGATGATTTCATCTATCAATAAATTAAAGAGCATTGGCTTAATGAGTCCCCATGTTTTACACCTCTGCCTATTTCTATAGATTTTGTGAATTTTTCATCTATTCTGATTTCCATTTTGCTCTTTCCTAGATGTTTTCGATAGTTTTTATAATATTTAGGATAACTTCTCTATTATACAGAAGACTAATTACATCGTTGAGTCTTACTCTGTCGAAAGCTTTGACAGGCTGCGTTGTTTAAGGGTAGTTGGCTGAGTAATTTAAGAGACTGGTTCCAGTGCACATCTAACCAATTATTTAAATCAACAGCTTCAAAGATACGAATAGTAATGATGATTGCCAAACTCCTTAGCGGAGAGAGCACTTGAAGAAGAAGAAGAAGATTTTTCAGTAATTTGCTTTATTACGAATATTACATTTGTACACAATCTTCCACTACGAAAACTCTGTTCTTCATCTGCTGAACCTATCCTCTGATTTATTAGTACTTTACTTAGGGCAGTATTTAACAAGTTTACAACTCTGTAGCTTTATGGCTGTGTTTCATCTCCTTTTTCGAACAGTAGAATTAGGTCGTTCGTTTTCCATTCCTTCGCTATTTTATTGTGTTTTATAATTTTATTAATTAATGTAAAGAATTGTTCTGTCCTTGCTGCTCCACAATATTTCAGTAATTCGGTTGGTATCCTGTCTTTACTTGCTGCTTTTCTGTTCTTCAGCTTTTTAAATATTTTACGAAGTTAACACAAGCAAATGAAAGATTTTAGTCCATCCTCAAAAAAAAAATTAACCACAGTAACATAGGGAAAATATATCCTGGTCATAAACCTTTTAATTTTTGGTTTTCTTAATCTATGAAAAATAAAAAAAAGAGAAAGATGAGCAAACCACTGATGGGCACGATTACTGACCAAAGCTAAGAGTCCTCAGAAGCAGTACACAGAGTTTTGTTCAGATCCTACTAAACTGCCGCACAAGATGGAAAAATTACGACACAATATATCAGCTGTACGAGGTTAGCTCTTCAAAAAGAAAGACAAATGGGGTACAGAAAATTAAAAAGGAATTAATTTATTAAACTTCTTCTTTAAGTACCGTCTCGTGGATACCATCATCATTATATTTACTCTATCTACT